TTAAAACCCCTTTTTCGTAGGAGGCCCCTCACCCAATTTTTGCAAACCGCACCCAGTTTTTCCACGCGAAGTGATTCCAAACTCGGCATTTCCAAATATGGGGCCAAATACCGTGTAAGGGTCCTGAATGAGGGGGTGTGGGGTGTGTGTGTGGGTTGTGTGTGAGTGCACGCAAACAAAAGAAACACCCAAAGTTTCCCTGCCGACGTGAGACCCACAACAATTTTCAACACAAATTCCCTTACCCCGGACCCTGTGGGGGGGCCCGCCCTTTTCCCCCCAGGGTGGGCCCACGGCTTGGCTCACCCCCCCCGCCGTTTTTTCGGACACCCCCCCCCCTCTCTCGAAAAAAAAAAAGACCACTTGGCTTTGGGAAAATTTTTTCTAGTAACACAAACTATTTCCGGGGGCCCCTTTTGTATTTTTTTTAAAAGGTTTTTAAAAAATTTTCCCGAAATACCTACCCTTTGTTTTGAGAATTTTTTTTTACCTTTTTGAAAATGAAAAATTTTTTGAACTTAGTTTTTTTTTGTTGTTTTTAAATTTTTTTAGGGGTTTTGCGTTTTTCCCGTTTAAAAAAAATTTTGTTTTGGGGGGGGGGGCCCCTCTTGACGGTGGGTTTTAAAAGTCTATTGGGATTTCTTTTTCCCTTTTTTGCAAAAGAAATGAAATTAACTTACTAAATTGTGTTTTTTTTAGCCCCCCCAAAATTTTTTTTTTTTTTTTCTTTATTATTATAAATAAATAATATTTTTTTTAAAATTTAAAAATAATTTAATTAAAAATTAAAACTCCTCGAATTGGATTTCTTAAAAAAAACGCTCATTTCCAAAAAACACAAAATTTTTTTTTTATAAAATTATTAAAAAAAAAAAAAATATTTTTTTTTTATATTAAATTAATTTAAAAATTAAAAATATTTTGGGGGGTTGGGAAAAAAATTGCTCTTGTTTAATGGAAGGTAAATTTCCCAAAATTTTTTTGAAAATCAAAAATTTTTACAATAATTTTAATAAAAAAAAATATATCTTTAAACGTATAAGACAAAATTTAAAAAGAACTTAATTTTAAATGAGTTCTTGCTGATTGACCAGTTTTACATATTTGGCCCCTCAAGGAAGGTTCCTTGATGTTGGTGAGGGGCTCTTGATTTAGGGAATTGGATCTGTGCTCCAGTTCCCCGAATTAAACCTGAATGCCTTCCACATATCCCCCCCCCAGGCGCTGTATAATCCTCCGGGTTTAGCGCTTCCCCCTTGATATAATAATAATAATACATATTTGGCACGACATATATATATATATATATATATATATATATAAAATATATATATTATATATATATATATATATATATATATTATATATATATATATTATATTATGTATGTATATATATATAACATCTGCATTTGGAGTTTCCATCTATGGCTCCTTTTCCCTAGTCCTCACATTGCAGACAGTCTGTCCATTCCTCATAGTTTGCCATATCTTGTCATGTCTCCTCTAGTCCTCTTCCGATGTCATTTAGTTTTTGCTCAAGCACATTTCCCTCGGTTCCGAGACCAGTCAGTCGTAAACCTTAACATCTTTTAAATTTGTATAAATACTTCATCAGGTAGGGACTGCATTCCGTTGTTGCTGAGCGGCTGAGCCGTTACTAGTCTCACAAACGTATCGCATAACGATATACAGTAAGGTCTTCTCTGTTAAGTTTCTTAAGGGTTGTCCTAAGGTTCACCAGCCTCGTGTACACTGTTAAAGTTACCACGTTGAATGTACTTCCAGTGATGTGTTCATTGTTATGTTCACTTCCAGGTCCTTGTCTTTCGTAGATTTTTGCAAGGTCTCGCTTCCCACACTGTATTGACTTCCTCTTAAGTCTTTCCCTCCGACATTGTACTTATTCACTCTAAGATCTTCCCCTCACCTTCACCAAATTACTTGACTTTGTATTTCTTTTTTAATATTAACCTTCAGCATCCACTCATTCACCAATTCCTGAAACCTGTCTAATGCCCCCTAGAGTCTAACCCAAATAGTAACACTATTCTTATTAATTTTACACCATTTATCATAGTGACACACAAGACTCACTCCCTCTGGCAGATTTGCATAAATCTTTAACCAGTCAGCCTACCACTGATCCTAGGGGTACCCCACTTCTTGGGTCCATATGGCGTACTGCCAACAAGAGTAAGTAAAGGTTTACATTAGAAGAATAAACTTTTACTGGGTCAACGTTTTTGCTGTGTAAACCTCTTCTCGGCTAAAAGCTTAGCGGAAAGTTGTCCCAATACAAGCTTGTTTTGCACCGTGCGTCTTTTCTTGATCCTACTTCTTGCCCTCACCTGTGTGAACGTCTTTTCCCATACAGTCTTCAGTACATTAGGTGCTCTTTAATTTATTGAAGCGCTTTTCCTCTCACTGCTGACTGAGCATCCAGTTTATACGCATCAATTTCTACTCAACTATTTTGGTGTGTGTGTACTCATCTATTTATGGTTGCAGGGGTCGATTCACAGCTTCTGGCCACGCCTCTTCGCTGGTCGTTACTAGGTGTATGTGTGTGTGTGTGTGTGTGTGTGTACTCATCTATTTGTGGTTGCAGGGGTCGAGTCCTAGCTCCTGTGTGTGTGTGTGTGTGTGTGTGTGTGTGTGTGTGTGTGTGTGTGTGTGTGTGTGTGTGTGTGTGAGGTGTGTGTGTGTGTGAGTGTGTGTATGGACTCGCCTAATTGTACTAACCTAATTGTGGTTGCAGGGGTCGAGACTCAGCTCCTGGCCCCGCCTCTTCACCGACTGCTACTAGGTCCTTTCTCCCCCTGCTCCATGAGCTTTATCATACCTCGTCTTAAAACTATGTATAGTTCCTGCCTCCACTACGTCACTTTCTAGGCTATTCCACTGTGTGTGTGTGTGTGTGTGTGTGTGTGTGTGTGTGTGTGTGTGTGTGTGTGTGTGTGTGTGTGTGTGTGTCTATCCTTTGCCCCAGACACTAAATTTTTTTACAGAGGGAAATCACCCCTACCACTAACTCCCCAATACACTGAGTATGCGGCGTCACCCACTAAACTACCCATCTTTCACATATGCTGAGCGGTGGGAGGGAGAGTGGTCACCCCCTTCTAGCCCCTAGACACCGGATTTTCAGGTAAGAAGGCGGATTCCAAATCCTTTACTGTGTACTCTCTCTCTCTCTCTCTCTCTCTCTCTCTCTCTCTCTCTCTCTCTCTCTCTCTCTCTCTCTCTCTCTCTCTCTCTCTCTCTCTCTTTCTATGCCCAGTATAAATCTATCAGCCAAGGTCAGTTCCCTAAACTGGTCCAGCAATCTTGATAATAAGTTACGTTAAATTATAGTGACCAATAAGGTTAAGGTATGGTGAGAGAGGACAGGGGTGAGAGGTTTCCTAGTACACTCACTGCTTCACTCAGCCACTCACCAACCCAACACTGAACCCATGTGAAAGTTAAGACACATGTGCAACATCTGGATATCTTTATTGTAGACGTTTCGCCATCCAGTGGCTTTATCAATACAGATTCTAGGACATAATAGGAAGACAGTAGAACTATATACAAAAGATGAGGTAATCAGTCCCTCGGCCTTGGAGTTAGTGTTCACAGCATCGTGGTGGATGCTGTGAACACGATGCTGTGAACACTAACTCCAAGGCCGAGGGACTGATTACCTCATCTTTTGTATATAGTTCTACTGTCTTCCTATTATGTCCTAGAATCTGTATTGATAAAGCCACTGGATGGCGAAACGTCTACAATAAAGATATCCAGATGTTGCACATGTGTCTTAACTTTCATATTGTCGGTATTTTATACCTTTCTTGCACAACTGAACCCATGTGGACTATCATAGACATTCAACAGATGGGACAATCTGAAGTCAACAGATTCCTGATGTTTCTTCAGAGACTGCACCTGGACGATCACTTGATAACGAGGCATTCGAGTAATTATTAGTAGTAGTGATAGAAGTAGTAGGGTTGTGAGTGACAGTGGAATAACACAAGTAGTTAAAGATTGAAGCAGTACTAATTTAGTAGAGGAAGGTGTAGCCCACTTCTTTCATCCAGGTCTCTCTGTCCTTTAAATTACATGTCATTTTTCCAATATGACATGGGATATTTTTCTCCCTGTTTTCGTATGGGCAGTGGCCGGAGGGAGTGGAGGGTGGGAAGAGAGCCTTCTGTTCTTAACTATATACCTAAAAATACAAAAAAAGAAATAGGGCTTTTCTTCACAAAACCACAGCGGGGGATTACTGTTTCCGATAACACCATTAGAAATGGCTACCCACGTCAGTCAAATTCACATTTTGTACGACTTTTAAGTGGGGTACTGAGGACCGAACCGGAGACCTTGCAAGTTCAAGTCCATAACTGTAACGACTGCACCATAACATAAATAAAGCTTTTCACGCAAGTAACTCCAAATTCACTGTTATCTAGAAATCCCGACACCACACAGACTTCATGAACAGTCGTGGACTTGCAACTGTTAAGGTCGCCAGTTTGGTCTGCAGTGCTCCTTACACAATTCGTTTTCACAGTATAGTAAAGTTATTATTCCATGCAAAATATAAAGGTGTATTTAACAGTGTCTAGCATAGTATATCGAAACGGAGGCCCTTCATGATATACTGAGATGACTGACGTGGTAGGTAGTCTCCAGGAAGGTGGTATCTTGAACTAGTCGCTACTTCCGTGGCCCGTTATGGACTATTTGCTATTTCACTTTTACCCACGTCCTTAAGGCTTATGCACCCCGTCTTGACGTGCCCCTGACATAGTGCCGGCACTACTGAACGGCTCGTCTTATAATAAAGGCCGGTGGCAGGTGATCTTTCCAAAAGAAAAAAAAAACAGTGTCCTGAGGCTGTAACCCTCAAGCACCATAATATTTGCAAGAGCAGCCACTCTTGCTAGCAGTGAGTGCCACGGTGGGCGGAAGCCTCTGCTGCTTGCCGCCCCCATCCTCATAACTTACATCCACTCTAAGCTATTTCACACTCCCCGCTCAGCTATCCGAATTTTCTGTGGGTATTTTTATTACTGGGTTTGCCACATTCTTGAGTTATATATTATATATATGGTAGCGTGGTTGATGATTCTTGCGTAGCTTCACCCAGCGAGCACTCAGACGGTACACCACTCAGCTACACTAAGTGACTAGCTCACGTCTGTTGATCATTTGGTGTACAACTGTAACGCCATGCTATTTTGTTTCAGTGTGCTTCGTGTTATTTTGTGATCTAGTCATTCGAATTAAGGCTTGTATAACCTGAATTTATATACGTACGTCAGCGTAAATAAATTTCTTTATCATTTATTGCTCAGGCATCATAACTCATAGGCTCATGACAGCTTAGTAAATAATACCTATATATTGAATTGTGAAGTGAGGGGGGTCTAAACATTATCGAAAATTATCGTTGCCACCCACATCACACGTGTACGGAGCACCTGCACAAAACAGGTGTGTGGAAGTACATATAGGGGTGGTGGTGGAGGGGAATGATCGCGTCATACTAACAGTGATTAGTAGTGTAGCGTTGCTGGTGTCAGTCCTCTAGTTATCTGCTCTCATCGTTGTGCCTGGCGTTGTTTTGGGCAAGGTTACTCTATAAATTTCTTCTTCTGAAACTGATGTTATGTGTGTTTATTATAGGCAACAGCGAGACTGTGAGAGCAAGAGGTAAAAACTGTTTTAATAGGAGGATTATGTACTTCATATGTGGCGTTGTGGTGAACGTTGTTACTGTGATGATCGTCTTGACCAGTTAGAGTGAAAGGTTATGGGGATCATTTTGGCCAAGAATGGCGATATTGTAGTTAACAACGAATTGTGTATTGTTGGGATAACCAATGTTGTCCAGGTATGACGAGATTGTAGTTAATTATGATATGGTAAACGCGAGGAAATTAAATCTTCATCAGAGTACAAAACAAATTCTGGCCACAAAATAGAGCGAAACACCAACGTCAAAGACCTGGGAGTGATCATGTCGGAGGATCTCACCTTCAAGGACCATAACATTGTATCAATCGCATCTGCTAGAAAAATGACAGGATGGATAATGAGAACCTTCAAAACTAGGGATGCCAAGCCCATGATGACACTCTTCAGGTCACTTGTTCTATCTAGGCTGGAATATTGCTGCACACTAACAGCACCTTTCAAGGCAGGTGAAATTGCTGACCTAGAAAATGTACACAGAACCTTCACGGCGCGCATAACGGAGATAAAACACCTCAATTACTGGGAGCGCTTGAGGTTCCTAAACCTGTATTCCCTGGAACGCAGGCGGGAGAGATACATGATTATATACACCTGGAAAATCCTAGAGGGACTAGTACCGAACTTGCACACGAAAATCACTCACTACGAAAGCAAAAGACTTGGCAGACGATGCAACATCCCCCCAATGAAAAGCAGGGGTGTCACTAGCACGTTAAAAGACCATACAATAAGTGTCAGGGGCCCGAGACTGTTCAACTGCCTCCCAGCATACATAAGGGGGATTACCAACAGACCCCTGGCAGTCTCTAAGCTGGCACTGGACAAACACCTAAAGTCGGTTCCTGACCAGCCGGGCTGTGGCTCGTACGTTGGTTTGCGTGCAGCCAGCAGCAACAGCCTGGTTGATCAGACTCTGATCCACCAGGAGGCCTGGTCACAGACCGGGCCGCGGGGGGCATTGACCCCCGGAACTCTCTCCAGGTAAACTCAAGGTAATAGTGACCATGTTGACCAAGTATGACCAAACTGTAGTTAATACTGAGTTTTGTGTTGGCCAGGTGTAGAAGCATTGTAGTAAATGGAGTGATGTTTTGGAGATTAGATACCTGTGCTTTTTAAGGAAAGTCTGAGGAGTTGTTTTTTATAAAGTGATGATAGTTTTGTCAAACAAACGAAGTGTAAATTTAATGTTGCAGAACTTCAGCATAAATCAGTCTCATCATTACGAATTTGATATAGTTCATTCATATTAAATAATTAAATTTAGGCTGAACTAAGACATGTTGGGTAGAATTACGTTAAATTATATTACGTTAATTTTAACAAGGACAAATGAGGTTGCTAAGTTACTTTTGGTGCAAAAGAAGAAAATATACACTGTTAATTCACCAAAAATATTTGTTAATGCGTAAGATTTTTTTTTACGGCAGTTGTTAAGCTTGTTTGGCCAACACTACCTCGGAGTTGTAGGTACAGGGGCAGACTCAGCCCCTGGCCTTCCTCTCAACCTATAATCAGCCGGAGCGCATTCTAGCATCTTCGTCTCTCTCACATTTACTCTTGAAATTGTATACGTAATATATTTCCATAACGTCTTTTTTTTATCACTCGAAGGTTGAAAATGTATTTCCTTATCTCCTTTCGTGTCAGTCTCTTTTACCACACTCCCAGTGGGTGTGAAAATTTTATATGTCGTGATTATGTTTGTCCTGGTTCTTCTTTTCTCTAAGGCTCAGTTCTTTTAGCCTCTCAAAGTGAAATGCCCTCCAGATCCGGAGCTAGTCTTGTTGTGACGCTCTAGACTTTCTGAAGCTTTTGTATTTGCTTGACCAGGTGTGGACTCCAGGATGCTACAACATAGCTGAAGCTGGGTCTGACATGTCGTATATATTGTTCTAAAAGACACTTTGGAATCCTAAAATCACTTCTGTTGATCAGTTGTGTATGCTCCTGACGTGATGCGAATAATGTGACTTATAAATCCATCCTCGTAGCTGGAGTTTACCTGGAGTTTACCTGGAGAGAGTTCCGGGGGTCAACGCCCCCGCGGCCCGGTCTGTGACCAGGCCTCCTGGTGGATCAGAGCCTGATCAACCAGGCTGTTGCTGCTGGCTGCACGCAAACCAACGTACGAGCCACAGCCCGGCTGATCAGGAACTGACTTTAGGTGCTTGTCCAGTGCCAGGTTGAAGACTGCCAGGGGTCTGTTGGTAATCCCCCTTATGTGTGCTGGGAGGCAGTTGAACAGTCTCGGGCCCCTGACACTTATTGTATGGTCTCTTAACGTGCTAGTGACACCCCTGCTTTTCATTGGGGGGATGGTGCATCGTCTGCCAAGTCTTTTGCTTTCGTAGTGAGTGATTTTCGTGTGCAAGTTCGGTACTAGTCCCTCTAGGATTTTCCAGGTGTATATAATCATGTATCTCTCCCTCCTGCGTTCCAGGGAATACAGGTTTAGGAACCTCAAGCGCTCCCAGTAATTGAGGTGTTTTATCTCCGTTATGCGCGCCGTGAAAGTTCTCTGTACATTTTCTAGGTCGGCAATTTCACCTGCCTTGAAAGGTGCTGTTAGTGTGCAGCAATATTCCAGCCTAGATAGAACAAGTGACCTGAAGAGTGTCATCATGGGCTTGGCCTCCCTAGTTCATTTATCTCAAGACCTAGCCCGAGGCTAAATTTCTGGACTTTCAACTTTTTTACGTATTCGATCAGATGAGACAACCACACTGGAGCTGTCTTATCGCAGTATAATATAAACATCATATATGTGGAATATATCATACTGAAGGAATCTTTGTTTAGGTTCCTGAAAGCCAGTTTTAAATTTTCTAGTGTTGTATCCGCAGCTGGCATTATCGTGTTTATATGAGCGTCTACTCAGACCACTGAGTCTGACCCATAAGCCAACAGACAGCTGGCTGTGGTCCACCCTATAGCGAACGGCTACCACATTTGTCTGTGTATAGATGGCACCGTCTGTAGCAGCGCGTCCCTCAAGCATAGTCGATATTGGTGAGAGGCTCTTGATCAACGGAACTGGATCTGACTTTCCCTTTCTGATTGCCTCCCATTTACTTAGATGTATGACCAATAGTGAGTGATGTGGTTTACCGGTGTTGTCCCGGCCCGGGTCTTTTCCAGTTGGTGACCCGGCGTTGGCCTCCCTCCCAGGTGGGAGGTGTCGTTCATCTTCTTTCTTCAAGTATTGTACATAGATCTTGCAGTGGTACCCCCGGGTGGAGGTCATCCTCTTCTTTCTTCAGTCTTGCAATAGCTCCCCGAGGTGGGTGGGGGGGGACTATGACCAATATGGGTCTAGCGTTTCTCCGTGAACATAATAATAATAATAATACTATAGCAGCGCACACTAATGGCTGTTTCTTCCCGATCTCCCAGCACTGCCATTATCACTGAACAGTAATACGAGCCTTGTCTCTCTGACACTAGTAGTTGTCTCTTTCACTTGCCAAGATACAACTGTCTATTTTAGTCGTCCAGCCTCATTACCTTGTACTTACTGTGGTTGACCAGGTGTAATTGTTTACTGAACCACGGTGTTTTGCAATCTTCTTTCGTTTATGTTCTTTCCTTAAGTTCACTTGACTGTTCTGTTGACTCTGAACTATTATTTTACAATAAATATCTTGACAGTTTTATCGTGTTTAAATTAAAGAACCATAATCTGTAAGGACCATAATCTGTAAGGATTTAATGTTAATAATTAATCAAAGTCTGCTCGAAATGCCTAGCCATACTAGGTGTCCTAGTGGCCCCCTCTGTAATTAGTATTTTATAACATGTAAACCACACAATACCCAAAACCTGCAAACCCCACATTGTAACAACTATAGAGAATAAACTTGATTTGAATTGAATTGAACACTGTAATAATGATTATTATATTATAAATGGTATACAGTACTTAATAAATTACCATACACTAACCATATAGGTAATCTATAAGAATTACATTCAACAGTGTCCCATTCAACAGTGTCCCGTTCATCGGTGTCCCGTGGCCTGACTGCTAAAGCTCTCACTTCACACTGCGAGGGTCTGCGTTCGATTCCCAGTGTGGGTTGAAACACTGGCATAAGATAAAATAAGTGCAAAAGACAAAATAGAAAGGATCATGTATGATAAACTCACCGAGTCGAAGGTGTGAGACACTAAATGTGATGAATGGTTTGATGAATGGCATGTGTTTACAGAAAAGGACACTGTAAATGAAGTGAGCTTGAACCCCAAAAGTTACTTGAAGTGAAACCCAATGACATAAAGAGACTACTGATAGATACTGACATAAAATTGTAAACATGAGAAACACCATAATTTTTAAAATACTGTGGAAAAGAGCTAAGCTATACAGTCTGGAAAATATTATGTTTACATAAAGTAAATTGCAAACCCCTTTAAACTTGAGGAGTGTCTCAGCAACAAGTATTGGTAATCAAGAGATGGTTAAACTCCAAGAAGATATAAACAAAAGTTTTCCAGTGGGCAACGGTAAACAATATGATGTTCAATGAGGACAAATTCCAACTACTCCGTTATGGAAAACGGGAGGAGATAATAACTAGAACAGAGTATTACTACAAACTCTGGCCATACAATAGAGCGGAAAAATAATGTAAGGGACCGGGGAGTAGTAATGTCTGAGGATTTTCACTTTCAAGGATCACAGTGCCACGATCGCACGTGCAAAGAAAAATGATGGATGGATAATTTGAGAGCGTTCAAAACGAGAGATGCCAACCCAATGATGATCCTTTTCAAATCACTTGTTCTCTCTAGGCGGAATACTGCTGTACATTAACATCTCCATTAAAACCCAGGTGAAATCGCAGATCTAGAGATGTACAGAGAACCTTTAACTGCACGTAAAGTTCTGTCAAGCACCTTAACTACTGGGAACGCTTGGAAGCACTTGACTTGTACTCGTTGGAACGCGGGAGGGAGAGATATATCATAAAAATACATTTGGGAAAAAATCCGGGAAGGAATGGGCCCAAATCAGCACACAGAAATCACTCCCTACGAAAGTAAAAGACTGGGCAGGCGATGCAAAATGCCCCCAATAAAAAGTAGGGGCGCATTGGTACCTAAGGGAAAACACCACAAGTGTCCGGGGCCCAAGACTGTTCAACAGCCTCCCATCAAGCATTAGGGGAATTGCCAATAAACCCCTGGCTGCCTTCAAAGAGAGCTGGACAGTACCTGAAGTCAGTCCCGGGATCAGCCGGGCTGTGGTTGTACGTTGGACTGCGTGCGGCCAGCAGTAACAGCCTAGTGATCAGGCCCTGATCCATCGGGAGCCTGGTCATGGACCGGGCCGGGGGGGCGCTGACCCCGGAATAACCTCCAGGTAACCAGGTACAGGTATTTTTTTTAGGGTCAACTAATTTGGGGCCCATGTGGCTTTATTGATGTGTGGCAGAGTCCTGGAAACATAATAGTTTAAGAGTGCTTCTTTGATGTTATTTACTGTGACGAATTTGAAGGGCAGTTATCTCTGCCTGCTGAGAGGGGACTGTTGATTATTGTTCTCCAGAGGAAGACTCTAGGAGCATAGACATAACCGAATTTGGGGTTGAGTAGCCTGATGAAGCTGGTTCTGTGGTTGTGATTCCACTCTTTATTGCATAACAGACATGTGTCACACCCTCCAACGTCACTTTGATTTTCTTGTATGAACCTGACTGTTTCACACTGGTTTGTGCAACTGATGCTATCATGGGTGAAAACCAGGAATAACAAATTAAAATTTTCGGTTGGAGAGGAGGCCGGGGAAAGGGCCCTTTAAATCACTTCCCCAACAGAGGCCAGGGGCTATGACTCAAACCCTGCGAGCTCACCTAGGTGAGTACAAGCTAAACCCTCCTTCTCCCTTGCCCAAATCAGCAATATGGAACAGTTTGGGATGATTAAAACTGATTTGTTATCGGTAAGTATACCGACATGTTAGGTACATGGACACATACGTCTTTGTTAATAAGACATTTTACGGTTTATGGTATTTTATTGAAACGTTTCAACCTCCAAAGATTGTCATTTCTCCTAGTGGCCGAAAGGTCTTCTCAGTAAAATGCTATAAACGGCATATCCTATAATAGCACTTGTTACTATATAATACCATTGATATGTATATATACAACTCAGAATTCATGGTTTTCATATAGGCTGGTTTTTCAGGTCATATTCCATCACAAAGGCTGTTTCACAGGTCATACTCCATCATGGACGGTGTTTTTCAGGTCATGCTCCATCATGGATGGTGTTTTTCAGGTCATACTCAATTATAGACGGTGTTTTTCAGGTCATGCTCCATCATGGATGGTGTTTTTCAGGTCATACTCAATTATAGACGGTGTTTTTCAGGTCATACTCCATCATGGATGGTGTTTTTCAGGTCATACTCCATTATAGACGGTGTTTTTAGGTCATACTCCATCATGGACGGTGTTTTTCAGGTCATACTCCACACAAGTCAGTTTCTGAAACAAAGCAGTGTTTTCTATCCATGAGCCGAATGGCTCAGGATAGTATTAGAATTTACCTGATAAAATAAATATATAAAGAGAGCTCCCAAAGTAAGAGGTGTATTTCTCTACGTATGCTTAGAGTTTACTTTGATTACTATTTTTAGGGATTAAAATATTTCTTGTTTGATGGTGAGAAGGTTGCATGCAGCCTCATTGACCCTTGTGTTGTTGGAAACCTAAAAGCCCATTAACAAAGTTATTTAAGGCTGCTTGAAATGTAAACATAACTAGGTGTTTTCCCACACCATTTATGTTAATTAATCATATACCATTTGTGGCTTACTTTTTAAAAATAAAAGTGGTGGTTATCATCCGTGGTTTTGATCCCCAGTATGGGTGGAAATATTGGGGGTTTCCTTTCACCTGTTGTCCCGTTCACCTAGCAAGCATGTAGGTACCCGGGTGTTAGCGATTGGTGTGGGTCGCATCCTGGAGGACAAGATTGAGGACCCTAATGGAAATAAGATAAGTCTTCGATGACGGATTGCCTTTCTTTGATTATCCTGGGTGGCTAACCCTCTGGGGTTAAAATCCGAACAGAATCTTATCAGTAAGGTCAAAGGTCAAAGACCCCAATGAAAATAAGCACTTTAACTTTTTCTTTGGTTTATCATATGAAATTCACACATTTGTAAATATGTAAGACAAATGTAATCTCCCCCCCTTCCCCCCCCAAAAAAAAATAAAACTGTACCTAAGTAGTTTGTAAGCCTTATAATTATTTGCCCAAAATGCATTACACAATTAGTGGCTTTCTTCTGTTCCTACATTTATATCAGATTATGTATATCAACTATAATTTCTTTGTATGTCACGTTAGATATAAAAAAAATAATTTTCACTCACTGTGTAGTGTTGTCATTAGCTACCTTCCTTATTGCACTTATGATTGTAGTTAACTGCACAAGGTCCTTCATAATAGGCTATGTCTAGCTCTTAAGTAGCATGTAAACCTTAATGTTTTCTTACCTGAAACGTACTGTACACATTATTACAAATTATCTTACGAAAATAAACCAGATTGTTAGCGTTAACGTCCCAGATTAAATTTTATCATTCAGGTAAATCAACTTAATCTCAAAATTTTCTGTATTATAAGTTAAACCGGGGGGTTTCTATAAAGTAAGCCAAAAATGTCAACTATTCTTGTATTAATTATATTATATAACTTTATAGAAAAAAAGATTATTCATTACATCTCCAGTTTTTTTTTTCGTCTTTTATTGCCGCGTGGTTGCCATCTGTTGGCGGGTTTTATCCCCAAATTTCGACAGCTGTTTATTTACGTGTGTTTAGTGAAGTGTCAGAGCAGTGTTTACTTCCAATATTTAAATGTAGGGAAGACTTTATAACAGGTAAGGAATAGAATTAAAGTATAACGAACAACATTATAGCAAGTTTGATGTCAATCATAGGCTGGAGGCTCCGTAACACAGGTAATTACTGCTCTCCACCACACCCAACCCACTCTCAACCTTAAGATTTCTTCTTATAAGACTTAATTTGCATACCACTTGCTTGTATTTCATACTCCAGCACTTAACACTTGTGAAGACATCACAGTAGGCATTGTTTGTAAAGTAATTCTGCTAATAATTACTATCCAGATTCCAGTTACTACACATGTATGATTGCGTCATAATATGGTATGCACACTTATATGTCAGTGTTTGATATAAGATTTAGAAATTGTATGCATGTTATATGCAATATTTATGTTGTAGGCTTTAAAATGTGTTCATGTACATAAATATTGCTGACAACCCCTGACTGAATTGAATGTACCAGTAACCCATATGACGTAAGAGGTAAAAAGGACCCAACTGCATTTACTGCATATTTATTGAATTGTTTCAGTCCTATAACCTTGATAACTTAAAATACAAATTCTGTGTTGGATGAGCTCAAGGTAAGTCACCCTCAATTTCAAGAATATAAAGTTAACTGTTTTCAGTTTGCTTATTTGTGGTTAAATACAAGTTTTGTAAGTTAATCTTCACTTAACCCATAAGTGATAGCCATGTCGATAAGGTTTAACGAACTGTTTTCTACATGCTTGATGGGTAATCTTTAATAAAATGTAATTATATCCTAGTTTTATTGCAGTATCCCATTTTTTAAGTCTTGGCAGGCTTCCCCATAAATGGAAGACTAACCATAGGATTTTTTTTTATTCATGTGAAACACAAAAATCCATGTGGGTCATTTATTATTACATTGATGGAAGGACTGCTAGATCCATAGGGGTCATACAATGCCTGGAGATTGAGAGGCAGTTACCTGGAGTTTACCTGGAGGGGAGTTCCGGGGGTCAACGCCCCGCGGCCCCGGTCTGTGACCAGGCCTCCTGGTGGATCAGAGCCTGATCAACCAGGCTGTTACTGCTGGCTGCACGCAAACCAACGTACGAGCCACAGCCCGGCTGGTCAGGAACCGACTTTAGGTGCTTGTCCAGTGCCAGCTTGAAGACTGCCAGGGGTCTGTTGGTAATCCCCCTTATGTATGCTGGGAGGCAGTTGAACAGTCTCGGGCCCCTGACACTTATTGTATGGTCTCTTAACGTGCATCGTCTGCCAAGTCTTTTGCTTTCGTAGTGAGTGATTTTCGTGTGCAAGTTCGGTACTGTCCCTCTAGGATTTTCCGGTGTATATAATCATGTATCTCTCCCGCCTGCATTCCAGCGAATACAGTTTTAGGAACCTCAAGCGCTCCCAGTAATTGAGGTGTTTTATCTCCGTTATGCGCGCCGTGAAGGTTCTCTGTACATTTTCTGGTCAGCAAATTTCACCTGCCTTGAAAGGTGCTGTTAGTGTGCAGCAATATTCCAGCCTAGATAGAACAAGTGTCCTGAAGAGTGTCATCATGGGCTTGGCCTCCCTAGTTTTGAAGGTTCTCATTATCCATCCTGTCATTTTTCTAGCAGATGCGATTGAAAACAATGTTATGGTCCTTGAAGGTGAACCTCCGACAATGTCACTCCCAGGTCTTTGACGTTTGGTGTTCGCTCTATTTTGTGGGCCCGAATTTTTTTTTGTACTCTGATGAAAGATTTAATTTCCTCGTGTTTACCATAATCTTGAAATAATTGAAATTTTTCATCGTTGAACTTCATATTGTTTTCTGCAGCCCACTGAAAGATTTGGGTTTATGTCCTCCTGGAGCCCTTTCAGTGTCTGCAATGGGAGGACACTGTCATGCAGATTCGGGTGTCATCTGCAAAGGAAGACACGGTGCTGTGGCCTGACATCCTTGTCTATGTCGGATATGAGGATGAGGAAAAAAGATGGAGCGAGTACTGTGCCTTGTGGAACAGAGCTTTTCACCCGTAGCTGCTCGGACTTTTCTCTGTTGACGACTACTCTCTGTGTTCTGTTAGTGAGGAAATTATAGATCCATCGACCGACTTTTCCTGTTATTCCTTTAGCACGCATTTTTTGCGCTATTACGCCATGGTCACACTTGTCGAAGGCTTTTCAAAGTCTGTATATATTACATCTGCATTCTTTTTGTCTTCTAGTGCATCTAGGACCTTGTCATAGTGATTTCCAATAGTTGAGACAGACAGGAGCGACCTGTTCGAAATCCTGTTGCCCTGGGTTGTGTAACTGATGGGTTTCTAGATGGGTGGTGATCTTTCTTCTTAGGACCCTTTCAAAGATTTTTATGATATGGGGTGTTAGTGCTATTGGTCTGTAGTTCTTTGCTGTTGCTTTACTGCCCCTTTGTGGAGTGGGGGTATGTCTGTTGTTTTTTAGTAACTGTGGGATGACCCCTGTGTCCATGCTCCCTCTCCATAGGATGGAAAAGGCTCGTGATAGGGGCTTCTTGCAGTTCTTGATGAACACGGAGTTTCCATGAGTCTGGCCCTGGGGCAGAGTGCATGGGCATGTCATTTAACGCCTGTTCGAAGTCATTTGGCGTCAGGATAACATCGGATAGGCTTGTGTTAACCAAATTCTGTGGCTCTCTCATAAAAAATTCATTATGATCTTCGACTCTCAGTCTGGTTAGCGGCTTGCTAAAAACTGAGTCATATTGGGACTTGAGTAGCTCACTCATTTCCTTGCTGTCATCTGTGTAGGACCCATCTTGTTTAAGTAGGGGCCCAATACTGGACGTTGTTCTCGACTTTGATTTGGCATAGGAGAAGAAATACTTTGGGTTTCTTTCGATTTCATTTATGGCTTTTAGTTCTTCCCGCGATTCCTGACTCCTATAAGATTCCTTTAGCTTAAGTTCGATGCTTGCTATTTCTCTGACCAGTGTCTCCCTACACATTTCAGATATATTGACCTCTTTTAGCCGCTCTGTTATTCTTTTCCGTCGCCTGTAAAGGGAGCGCCTGTCTCTTTCTATTTTACATCTACTCCTCCTTTTTCTTAGAGGAATAAGCCTTGTGCATACATCGAGTGCCACCAAGTTAATCTGTTCTAGGCATAAGTTGCGGTCTGTGTTGCTTAGTATATCTTCCCAGCTTATATCGGTTAGGACTTGGTTTACTTGGTCCCACTTTATGTTTTTGTTATTGAAGTTGAATTTGGTGAATGCTCCCTCGTGACTAATCTCATTATGTCGGTCTGGGGCTCCACGCATACATGCCTGAACCTCAATTATGTTGTGATCTGAGTATATTGTTTTTGATATGGTGACATTTCTTATCAGATCATCATTGTTAGTGAAGATGAGGTCTAGTGTATTCTCCAGTCTAGTAGGCTCTATTATTTGCTGGTTTAAATTGAATTTTGTGCAGAGATTTAAAAGCTCGTGTGAGTGTGAGTTTTCATCAGAGCTACCTCCTGGTGTTATTACTGCAACAATATTATTTGCTATATTCCTCCATTTTAGGTGCCTTAAGTTGAAATCCCCCAGGAGCAAGATGTTGGGTGCAGGAGCTGGAAGATTTTCCAGACAGTGGTCAATTTTTAACAGCTGTTCCTGGAATTGCTGGGATGTTGCATCTGGAGGCTTGTAGACTACCACAATGACTAGGTTTTGGTTCTCGACCTTTACTGCTAAAACTTCCACTACATCATTTGAGGCATTAAGCAGTTCTGTGCAAACAAGTGACTTTGCAATGTTAGATTTGATCCAAGGAAGGGAAAATAAGCCTTAATTCCTTTGATCAAGAACCCTTGACCATCATCCAGGCACCTCCTTTGAGGGATGAGTAGTGAAGGCTCTATCCTGTGTTTGTTATTTGCAAGATTGACACTACCTAACTGTACTTGTTGAACTGTCTGACCAGGGAATGTCATTCAAAATTTACTCAACAGCTTTCCCATGTCCAAATCTTTCTTCATTCTTGGTATTGGAAATTGTAGTAGTATATAAAGAAACAAGGCCTCCAAAGCACAAAGTGAAACTAAATCTGCAACAAAATCTGTTTTGCAGACATACTGTTTTATTTGCTGATTTTAGATTCACAGGACCTCGTGGGCACAGCCTGGATGACCAGTACTGTATATCAAGACCTAAGTATCACAGGGAAATTTCATAGTTGGTAGCCTTAGATTTACAAAACACATTGATATGGTGAACCAAGAAATATGATAAAAACTGCAAGTTAATGGTATAATTTTTGTAGAATGGCTCAAGTCTTGTTTGAATAACATATGTTTTGCTGATATCGCATGGAGTTCTAAAAGGAAGAATTTTGGGTCCTCTGCTCTTCTTGTGTTATGGGATGATTTGCCTTTCATAATATTAAATGCCAGATCTTTTATCTGATGTATTGGGTAAAGAGATATGTATATTATTTTATGCTCTTTTATGTGACTAGATTGTGAATTACTGTATGCTGTATCAGGTGAATAGATAAAAAATAATGAAAGCAAATTCAAAAACAAAAACAAAAAATATATAGGCAGGCACAGTGCTTATGAAATAAGACTCATATGCTGTCTCGTGTAGATTACTTCGGCTCATGTACTCGGCTATAAAAAAAATCTGGAGCGAAATGCAAGTTATCTTAAGTAAGAGGGTAGGATTTATTCAGGATATTGATGTAAGGTATTATGTAAGCCAGGATGAATTGTAAAAATTAGAAATGCCAAAAACTGCAGATAGTGACATAATAGAAATTACACCATGGCTAAAAAAAATGTCAATAATGGTCTAGAAAAAGTGAACATGTTTTTTTGCAGTAAGTAAGCAAACTATTCAGGCTAAATGTACAGCTGTTTTTTATGAATTAATGTTTTGAATTTTTATAATGAGTACATTAAGCTCAATTTTTTGAAGAAGACTTTCTTCAAATATGTTAATCTTTGTGGTTATTAATCCAGGATAATAAAAAAAACAAGCATTGTACCTTATTTCTGTTGTCATATTGGTAGCAAGGCATCTGAACCCTTCCTACCTCAATGTAGGGAAATAAGGTAAGACAGTGGTACATCATCTCACCTCACAACACACTGTTGGGGACTTCACTCAGTTC